TGATTATTGTGAAGTGCGGTGGATTTTACAGCTCTGTCACTGACCGCAATAAAGTTCGATTCCGAGGCATGAAAAACTGATGCGAAACACGTTATTTTTTGCAAGCAATGAAGTATATAACCCAAATATTCCAGTTGTCCCAGTTTGACTCGACCTCTGATATTCAAAGAAGGTTCGATAGTTTAAAAAGAATGCACGATTCGCCTGTGATGTTTCAAGGCTCAGAAATGTTTCTTCGGATTTTATTGCAGAAATTTTTCTTCGGATTTTATTGCAATTATTTCTCAATTTACTGCATGATGAGTAAAAACTTTCAAGTTACAGCCAAAATTCTCCACCCATATCACAGGGCGATAAAAATGGGTCTGACTAGGTAAAAATTGAATGATGTTTCGTTTCCACCAGTATTTTAAATTTAGAAAAGATAATGGGTAAAGCAAAATATTTATATTCATAGCTGCCTTGACAAATTTTTAGCACCCCATGAAAAGTGTGGAGAACTCATGCTGCAAATGGAAAGCTTTCCCTTGACACCATGCACTAAATTGAAAAACTTTTTTTTTAATCCGAAATTAATCCCAGAATCTTATAACATCATGAACAATGACAAAACATATTTTTTTTACGATCACACGCATTCAAAAAAATAGCATAGGTCGCATTCCACTGGGACAACCCTCGAATACATACATTTATCGCATGAACATTTTCTTAAAATGAAAATGACTCGATCAGGAGCCGACAATTTTCCATATTTCCACACATCCGGAGTTCATGCGGAAGGAAGGAGTAGAGAAAGGAGTGAATCGAGAATCGATGTGCACAAAAGGTCTAATGGCACACCGACGCCTTGATGAAATTAGCGAGAGTCGATACGGGACGACACTTGGCGGTGAGAGAAAATTGGCACATGGCGTAGCGGTCATCAATCGACTTCGCACAATAACCACACACACAAACCCGCAAAAATTTCGACATTTCCCCCCGCGAATTTCACAGTTATTGTCACGAGATAGTATGGAACACGTTTTGCTTTTGGTAAACACCACATTTGACTGTCTGCTATAATTTGTTTTTCGTCATTAAATAGATTAGAAAAATTCTGTCAAGGAATTGCGTCAAAGCTGCAGAAATCCATAAATTCAAATGTGCAAAATTAAAATGATCTCGCATGTGTTTCTATTCAAACATGATCAGACTGTTGAAGGAGTTTTTTGGCGAATTGTCCCGATTACGCGTGACTTTCGATTTTTATTCACGCAAAACTCTGCCGTTGTACCAATAGAAAAACTTCGTGAATTTTTAAAATCTTTCCTGTGACTTTTTCGACAAGCTTTCCAACTTTTCAACTTTAACAGCACTCAATCTTTCATCAGTTCACCGTGGTGAAGCATGTCAGCCACAGCCTCGAAAGTTAGTCAAGTACTTACACTATAAAAATGCCAACTTTAACGTTGGTCAAACTTTTTCGTTCGGTCACAGTTCATAAAAAAAAATTACACTCATATTTCCAAAATGCTCTTTGGATCCTCACGGAAGAAGACCCGAGTGAAAGTGCATTTTCTTGGAAAGGAAGTGAAAGAAAACTGAGTAGGGGGAGATATATATATATATATTTTATGGAACATCAAATTCGAATGCGTCCATCCGAATTTTACAACAAAGACCATCAAACTTTGAACTATTTGTTTTTTCCGAGGGGGAAAGGAGAGCCGAGTTGCTGCGGATTTATGGTCCAACCGAGATTTTCTCGCAGACAAGAACCCATCTTCTCCTCTCTATTTCTCAAAAATAAAAAGTCTGCTATTTCTGATTCGCCATGGATGTAGAAGGAAGGGAAAAAAAACTGGGAGGGTTTTTGGACCAACTTCATAATGAAACCCGAATCAGGGTTTCGGGAGCCCCCCACCAAAAAAAAAAAAAAAAAAAGATAAATTAAAGTCACGGGGGAGGGAGAGNAAAAAAAAAAAAAAAAAAAAAAAAAAAAGATAAATTAAAGTCACGGGGGAGGGAGAGAAAAGAGAGACAGAGACAGAGACAGGTGAAGTGAACCTAAATCTCTTTTTCGCCTCCCAAAAGAATCATAACACAAATTGAGAAGCCAGGAAATGGAAGGAAAGAAACAAGAACACAAAAAGAAATTATTTTTTATTTTTTGGAAAGGAAGTTCGGCAGATACCCCGGGCAGCGATTAATGATTGATACAAACCGTGAAGCGGATCTCTGACAAGCCAGGGGCCGGCTCCCGAATATCCCTTGATTGACGATTCGATCCCGTTTGCGCCGCCGCCGAATTCTTCTTCTGCCCTCTTCAAAAACCCACTTCTCTCTCTCCCGTCATTTTTATTTCTTTCCATTCATGCGTAATTTTTTTTTTTTATTTTACAAACATATCTTCATCTTTCTGTTTCAGGGCGAACCGCGAGAAACGAGAATCATCGCGAGATCGAATCACGAAATCGAACTTTGCGGATTCTTCAGCATGCAGAGGAACAATTCGGGCTCGAGTTTAAATACTCACCTTTTTTATTTTGACAGCTGAAGCTCTTAAAGTCAAATTTCAAGGGCCCAGCAACAAAAATAATTCGATTCCGGTTCCCTCCACTCATTATCTTTCGAACGCTTTAAAATTTTAGTGATTTAGCTGTATTTAAATACCCAGTACAAGCATTTGAATACAATAAACCTCGAGAAAATTGTTTTCACGTGCTTTATTACAACCGAACCTCTGAAAATAACTTCTAGGAACCATCAAAATATTTGCAGTCAAGAAACACGCATTTTTTATAGGGAAAATAAAGAAAATGTATAGGAAATTGTAATTGGTGGTATTAAGGGCCTTAAATTGATCCTCAAATGAGTTGAAAGGAGGCTGAACTTGGAAGCAAGGGTTCATTTGCTCAATTAGTCTTCCATTTCAAAATGCATCAGAATCAGATTTATATTGCTTTCATATTTCCTGCGTCAATAAAATAATAGCCATTAGTCCTCCGAAAAAATTCTAATTTTGGAAATTTTACGAACGAGGTTCAACTTCTCTCTTTTTTAATTTTTTTTTAAAGAAGACTTTCGGATTGACCCCAGAATAATAAAATTAAAAAAAAAATTTTGAGGGATTAGACTATGAAAAATCCCAGAAAGACGTGGATCGAATCCTACGCCCACTTCAGCAACATTTGTCGGTTCTGCCCAAGATAAACTTTTCCTCGAGTCTCGTTCTTTCTTCGACACCATCACGCCCAAAATCTTTTCGGAAAAAAAATTGAAGATTTCCGCAAATAGGAGGTTATCCACATACCATAGAAAAAAATGAGGGTCTTTCAACTATTTTCTTCTACGAGAATGCATTGAAGTTATTTTCCATGACGAGCCCGGAGAATTTGGCCAATTCTTCCCAGTTGGAAGATAAAAATAGAAAAACTGTGAATGTTAAAATATGATGGAAAAATGCAATGCAGTGAATGTAAAATTACAGTACCCGCCATCTTAAGCATTGAAATGAAAATGAGATAAAATTTCACCGGATTCGTCAGAAAAATAATTGGATCAGTGTTGAAAATTTGGAACCTCAATACCGATTCGTTTTCCAGTGAAAACATACAGTATTCTGCTTCATTTTCAATTATTTCAGTCAGATGATTACAATTGTAAAGAACTTTGTCTCCAAAAAATATTTTCAAAGCACAATCTCGCAGAAAATTGAGGAACTTTCGCCAATTCCATCATAATTACGCCAGCTTTCGGGAAGTTGAAGATAAAATGTTCTCCCTTTTTTGAATTAATATTTCCAAGACATGTAATTTCCAAAGATTTTTCGGCAGGGAGAAAGTTAAGCACTTTTTAAATCAGCGTTATTGTGACTATTCCGAACGATCTCAGCGCCAAAAACTTTTCAGAAATCGTTTTCTGCTTTATGGTGATCAATAAAAAAATAATGACTCGAACGCAATTTTCTTCGTCCACGCATCGGAAACGGGTGAAAATTTCGCAGAAAATCGAAGTCGAAATCGGTCATATTTCAATCGAAAGTTCTGCAGAATATTTCCCTTTCTTGCAAGAAAGAAAATAAAAGCCCATGAATTCACTGCTGAAAAGTTGCTCAACGGGAAACCCCGCTACTCGGTCAAAAAGGGCGCGACAAATTCCGTGATCGCTTTCTTCTCCAAGAAAAAACCCTTTCCAACCCAGTGGAGAACATTTTTTGAGAGGGGGCTTGAACCCCCTGAAAATTGAGGGGTCCCTGCCAGGTGAACAAAGAATTTTTCCTCGCAGACAAAAGCGAAGAAGGGTTGCAGAAAAAATTGTCCACCTTTCCTTTTTTTCATGAAGGAAATTGTGTACTAGTGTCGGGCTTTTGTGCCGACGCCGTCATTTTCTGCACAAGTGAGCATCAAACGGAACCCGCAAAAAAAAAAAAAGGGTTCGACAAGCCCTCAGGCTATTTCCGAGTTGCTGCGGACGTTTCAGGAAATAAATCTGGTTTTCCCAATCGGCGTTTTAATTTAGAATTCCTAGATTCAAATTTCAAGTGTCCTCGGAAAATATCATGCTTTCAGAAAGAAATCGCAGAGAAATTTCGCAGCAAATTTTCCGTATGGAACCAATAACACATTTTTCATGCAAAAAACTTCGCAATCACTCGAGCCGACAATGAGAAGAAGTCCCGTTTTTTCAATCTTCTGGGAACATTTCCGTACAACAGTATAGCAAATCAAAACAACATTCAGCACAAAATTGACTGAAAAATGCAACTTCGATTCCGAATCAGACGAAGAAATAAGGATATTCGTCCCCAAGAAGAGTAAAATCCTGGGAATAATTTTTTTTGGCACAAGGTGGAAGATTCAACAACGGAACCAGAGGGACCACTTTTCCGCTGAAATGGACACCCTTTTCGTTTTTTTTTTGGCACATAAAAGGGGGTATTTGCGGGATTCCTTTTGTCCAGGTCGGGTTCTCAGGGTCAACACTTGATCACACATTCGTCCAGGATGATAAATTCATCCTGATTGATGGGCAAAGTCATTTGTCAAAATCCACAAAGTCAGAACCGCTTCGACTTGTGCCAAAAAAATCTCTTCTTCGGGCAAGGAGAAGGTCGCCTTTAAACAGCAGGAAATCTTGTCGGGTCGTAAAAAGGGCAAGGTCAACTCCTTTGTTCGCACAATTTCTTGCTTCACCTGACTCGGGGGCGTGCGAGATTTTAGTGAAATTTAGCCAACCAGGGACTTTTCGGCACAAATCAAACTGTTCACTCATATTTTTAGCACAAATTGCGGCCCAGACAACAAAAGCACGCTGCAAATTTCGCCAAAAATGAAGGAGAGAAAAACTTGAGCCGCACCCGGAATAAATTTTCCATCTACTCGCATATTACGGCGTCGAGGGAGAAATAATTTCTCGCTTCGGAAACCCCGGCTTTCCTGAAATTGTTTTTCGCAGAAAAATCGGCACTACCTATCACGGAATACGAGGAAAACAAAAATCTCCACCTTCCAACCGTTATTCATCTCTGATGATTGATTTCAATCGGAAATTTGGTCCCTCTTGACTTAAGCCCGCTGCCGTCGTACTTTTTTCCACCCGAGAATTTAAATAAACGTACTTCGAAGAATAAATTATTTCAAAAAAATTCGGCAGACTGTTGAAATCATTTTTTCGCGCGAAAAATCAGCTTTGAAAGTAATCTAACTAAACTTGCGGTTTCTTCAATTATATCCTCAACAAATCGCTTCATCGATAAAATACAAAGAAAATCAGTGATGATCGATATTTCCACCCCAAAATGTTTCAAATATTGAAAACATAAAACGGTGTAACAATGTTTCATTTGTGAAAACCATTTTTCAATGGCATAAAGCATTTTGGCTTAAACTGCGAAGTTGTTTAGTCGATCAAGTCAGTATTTATTTAAATCGATTCTAACCCAATTTTGAATCGAAGAAAATGAACTTTGAATCGGGTTTGCGTTGAAAAAAAAAAAGAAAATTAACGGGATAATCCTCAAGCCGAAAAGTGCGAAAGACTGACCTTCAGATTTGAGATGACCTGGTGACACTGGTCCTCGGGAACCCGGTCGGAAACGGACACCAGAACCCCGTCGTAGCCATTACCCGACAGGCGACCCCAGGCCTGGGCACCCACGACACCGTCGATCCCGGCCACAACAAGGCAAAGCAACGCGAATGTCGACACTTTCCCCATCACTTCTCGCCAAAAAAATGTTGCAATAAATCCCTCGCCAAACTTTCGTCTCTCTTTCTTTTTTTTGCACAGTTTTCCAGCAGCGAAACACCGTCGGCTTTCAACTCACTCCTTCCGACACAATTTATAGATCATCGTCCACCGCAGTCAATAACTTTTCTCTCGAACACGATCAAGTCTGTGAAAATCAAAGAATTCGTCAGGCAATTGTATTAGAAACTTCGAAAAATCCAATCACAATTTTTCAAGCATCCTTTGAGAAACCTTGAGAAATTTTGCGAGCACAAAACGGAACAGCGAAGAGTGACGGCTCTTAAATATTAAATGAAAAATAAATTTTAAAACCGTTTCTAATGGAATCACTGAAATTGTCTTCGTTTTTAACAAATACCTTCCAAAGGCAAAATAATCCTTTTTTTAAAAAACAAAAATCGGCCTGCATTGGGTTTACCCCAAAATAATGTTCACTTCATGCAAATTATTTCTTTAAAAATCTGTAATAAGTTGATCAATTGAAAGGTGTTGCAGAGTTTCTCTTTGGTCGCCATTTTCGTCTCATTGATGACTCATAATTGAAAGTTTTCCTTTCGATATTTCAAACACTTGGGTACATTTGCATGAAGTAAAAAAAAAAAAACGTAACATTAAAAGAGAAATGCAAGATTTCTTCCGTATCCGGGGTTAGTTTACATTCTTCATAGTTGGTCGCGATTTTCGGACGCGATTTTGCGTGACGAGAGACGATCGGCTCGTCACTGACGTTCCTCGACACGGTTGACCCGTTTTGTGTCATGTTCGGGGTTCTCCGTCACTGTCGAAAGGTGCTACTAACGATAATGACAACTGTCGAACAACACGAAATAGAAAAGGAACCGTTTCGCGAGGACTGACTTCAGAATTTCCGCCTATCGTCACACATACAAATTCAACCGCGAACTTCTCTTATTGCATTAAAAATCTCATTATGCATTGCAAAATTTATTTTATTCTCACGACTGATGCCACGCCTCATAATTTGTTTGCATAATAGCGAAAACGCAATTTTCATGCGACTTCGCGGGACTCGACACTACTTTTTGGAAAAGCCATCACATGCAGCCGTGAGGCATATTTTGTATCGGCATTTTTCGAAATTCGACTGACACTTTTAAATCACCGCCATTCAACTAATTAAAATGCAAATCGATTCATTTTTTATCCCGTTCTTCGAAAAGCTTCCGCTGAAGAGTCAAAAAGAACGAGGATTACGGAGATCCACGAACTTCGCAACTCTTCCGCGAATTCTAGTTTTCATGACGCAAAACGAAAACTGGATTGCGAAGCACAGGAAAAAACAAAAAAAACCAAGTAAGGGATTAAAGATGAAGAAGATAAAACTGCGAGAGAAAAAAAAACTGTGACCTACGAAAAGAACTGCAAAACTGGTTCATGATCAACTTGAAACCGGTTTCACTTTTCTGTGCGCAAAAGATGACGTGTGCAAAACTTTTCCCAAGGTGAAGCGAAGAAGAAAAAGCGGTCCGATTTCTCGTAAATCGTCAGTCTCGAATTCAGTAAATTGCTTTTATCGTCAATGACTTTTTAAAAAAATTATAAATTAAAGCCCAGCAGGGATTTTTCACAGCTTGATATCACAATAAAAAACTCAATAAAATAAAACCTTGCAGAATTTTCCTGGGTTTTTATAATTTCAATGTGCCAGTAAAAAAAAAAAAAAAAGGCTGCAGAATTCCCAACAAAAAAGCCACACCTTCTCATCAAGCACAGCCACAATCACCACGAACGTCCTTGCAAAAAAAAAACTGCACGCGGAACAGCAAATTTTATTACATTTCATTTTTTTTTAATTCTTGAAAGGATTGAAAAAGTGATCGAAACTCCTTCGGGCGAAGAAACTTGACGCGAGAAAATCCGCTCGCGCCACGACGCACGCAGCAGAAACAAGAATTACAACCCATTTTTCTGCACACAATGGAGACTTTTTTTAAATTTTCTGCACAAACACACACACACACACACACGCACAGGAAAAAATTGGCAGGAATTTCTTTCTTTTCGCGGAGGTTCTTTCGCGACGTGGACGCTCCGAAGCCGGGCGAGGACTGCCTCGCGGGCAACCAGTTGCACGCGGCTTGGAGTATCCCCAGCAGCAGACGCGCGCCAAGCGCCCGTTTCTCTCCTCTCCTGCTTTTTTTCTTCCTCATTTCAAAGTCTCTCTCTCTTGCTTTTGCCTTCTTGTTCTTCTTCTACTTCTCTACTACTACTTCTTCTTCTTCGTGTTCCCCATCAATAACACCAGGAACCTTTTGCAGCACTTCGAGGCACTGTGGTTTGCTGGACCGAATCTGTCTGCCACTCTGGTGGCTGGCAAAAAGAAGCACTGGGTCTCCCGATTTTTATGAGGCATTCTCTGCTCCCATGTACAGCAAAGTCAGAATACGTTGGTTTTTCTTTTAGTATGGTCAATTCCTGACCAAGATGTGCAAATACAGTTGGGTCTCTTGAAGTTAAACTCTGAAAAATAAAGAACTTGAGTTCCGATACAGATATCATGAGAACCCATGGAATTTCGGTTTTTTTTCCAAAAATTGGAAAATCGTCAGTCTTTTTAAATTGGCAGTATATAATGACAAACATGCACTTCTTAATTATGAATATTTTTCAAAAACAACGATTATTTAAAAAAAATGGATTTAAAATCCCTTCAACTTGGATTACAGTATATCCCTCTCAAACTTAACTCCATTACTGGAATTTTCCGGAGACCTTTTGGCAATTTTTTGCTAGACAAAGGAAAAAGAAAAGCAATAAAAATGTAACTTGATGCATTTTGAAAGGTGGAAGTGAAAGATAAAATGGACAAATGAACCCTTGCTTGGAATTTAAGCATCCTGTCAGCTCACTGAAACAGCAATATGAGGCCCAAAATATCATCATGTACAATTCCCTGAATTTTTTCTTTCTTTCCCATAACAAAATTGCTTGGTTCCTAACTCAATTTTTTTCCTGGCCTCTTGAAATTCAGCCTAGAGATGGTTTACTGTACATCACTTATTATGGTGGCTATATGGGGCAAAAACCTGAAATGTGACTTGTTTGTGAGCAATTTTTCATGATGGCAATAGTAATACAGATAATTAGTTTTATTTCACTGAAATTTAGAAAATTGAGTAATCTTGCTAAAAAAAAAACAAAAGAAAAAAGTCAAGGGTGAATTAATCCCTTCTGTAAGGGGAAGAGAAAAGGTTGGTTATTAAGCTCTCTACAACAATCTTGTCTAGAATGATTATCTCCATATACTGATTTTTTCTCTGGTCCCACAGGGTTCTCTTCCCATGTGTTCTCTGCAACACATTTCTCTCTACAACAATATTTTCCTGATCATTTGCATTTTATTGCAGAGAGGAAGAATCCACTGTTGGTATTGTATTTACTAGAGTACAGAAGAACCTCAAATACTCCTACTAGTGCTAACTTGATAATAAAAATGCACAAATTGGAATTTAGATATGAATTAAACCTAAATTTGACTAAATGTCAATTATAAGGAACACCTAAACTTCTAAACAATTATTTTATCAATTTTTTCATTTTACAGTATTACTTTATGAATATGTTATCAAGATTTTGAACTGAAAACCCCTGGTGCAGGTCTTACTCAAAGGTGTGTGAGTTGATTAAAATAATGCTGACTGTCACAAAGACCAGCACCACCAAGAAAACACCAAATGTGGCAGTGTTGAAGGATTCTTTGCGAATCTGTCAATGCAAATTGCTTGCCATGATGGGGGTGCCCCCACCTCCAAGTTAGTCAAAGTCAGGCTCAATTAAAGTCCAAATTCAAATTTTGGTGCTCCTATTTTTGAAATATTGTGTTATGAGAGTCACTGAAATTTGGGATGCGTGTCTCACTCATGGACTGGATTTTATCAATACAGTAGTTTCAATTGTTTCAATACAGTAGTTGAACCCCAGGTGCAAGTCTTACTTGATGATGCTTGGTACTTGAGTAAAAGTTGTATTTTGGCTACCATGCTACCTGGCTGACCACCACCAGCACCAGCACCACCAAGAAGACTCCAACAGCAGCAGTGTTGGAAGATTCTTGGGGAAGCTCATGTTCAATTCATGTCCAGATTCAAATTTAAGTGTTCTTATTTTTGAAATACTCTATAATTTTGAAAGTCACTAAAATGTGGGGATAAGATTTTATAGATATTTTCAATCAAAAACACCTATAGGTGCACTTCTTACTTGAGGGTGTGTGTGTGTGTGTGTGTGTGTGTGTGTGGTACTTGAGTGAAAATGGTATTTTGGCTGCCATGCTCCTGGCTGACCGCCACCAGCACCAGCACCACCAAGAAGACTCCAACTGTGGCCAGTGTTGGAGGAGTCTTGGTGAAGCTGTCGATGTGAGTTGCTTGCTGTGCTGGGGGGGTGCCCCCTCCCCCCCCCCCCCTCCTTGCAGCACTTGCAGAACCGCCCGCGTGCATTCTCACGATCTTCACCTCGGGCATTCCTTTGTACGCTTGATGCCTGCCGGATTCCATCAATAAATATAGAACGCCGTTTTCTCCATTTCCCATCCCCGCCAACTCCCTTGACATGCGATATTATATGCCGGTGTGTTTCATTTATTTCTATACTTAACAAGAGAACAATTCCCTTTTTTTTATTCATTGTGTGTGTGTGTTTGTGTTTTTTTTTTGGCGACCATCATCAGGAGGCATCATTAGAAGAAATGAATCATTTTTGCAGGTATCCGATGGTCAACTCGGGGCATTTGTTTCATGTCGCTGTTATACGACGTGTCTCTGCGCGGGACAAAATCCGGGTGAACTTGATTTTGTCAATTCTGGACAAACTCAAGCATTTTTATTTTGTCAACAGCAGCGCGATTATTTGTGAACTTCTTTTGTTTGAATTTTCTCGTAACGTGTTTAGTTTGTTATTCATTTTCGAGTCTATTGTATATTTTAAAAGGACGCTGCCAATCACACATGAGCGTTTTCTATACAAACTTATATATTTGTTCTAGTGGCTGTGATTTCTGAAGCAATCAAAAGAAAATTATGCTTTTAGTCTGGAGGGGCCTTTTTGAAATAGACAGATAAATATGCCGTAGGAATTGAAGAGATTCTCGTACTCATGAGTTCACGACAAATAAATACAATTTTAGCGAATTTCTGGAATTTTT